AACAATCTATTGACTTACTGTTACTGTTATCAAACTATATCTGTTTTGTGCTTTAAGTCTGTATTTTAGACATTTTCCAGCTGCTTACAAACTATCTTTTACTTAATTAGTTATGCTGTAACTCACTTTGGCCCAACTTTATTAATAAACAATTCTTTCAAAACTATTAAAAGCTACTACTAAAATGTTTGCATTTGAATAGTTACTATCAACACGTTTGGAAATCTCACTCCCACAGGTTTGACTCTCTGATGTTGCAGATTATTATTCTGACTGCTAACTGGAGAAGCAAGAACTTTTCATTGACGTTTCAAACGAGCTTTTGTGCCAGAGGGATTTCAACATCTGATAGTGGAACACAGCTCCTGTTAATCTCCAACTGGAACACTTTTTGGTTGCAACATGTGCGGTGCATGTTGAGTTTCCACATCTGCAGCGCATGTGAACCAGTCATCCAGTCGGCATGAACGAGTTTAGTTCACTCCTGTCTGACCTTTGACCCTGGATAGCCGTGGTCTAAATTTGCTTGGACAAAGCGCTGCGTTATCTTCGTCACTGAGTGTCAGTGGAGATATGTGGTGCAGCTGTGTGTGAGTTTGTGTTTTGTTTATTTACTACTATAGATAAAGAGATAGGCAGATGAGATCCTACGTGACTTGAATCATGCAGAAAGATTATGAATCTCTGGCATAAAAACATGTTTGATTATTTTTTTAGAGGCCAAACTTAAACACCTTATTAGAAAGGATTTTGATTTATCTGACCTATTCTCTTGGTATGCGTGTCTTGCCCATTATTGAATTACACAGCCATTTTTTTTTTAATGGTATAAACACAAACCCCATTTGTCTGGAAAATTAAAATATTTTAGCATTGCTTAAATTATCTCAATTCAATTCAGTTTATTTGTTGATATAGCGCCAGTTCACAGTCTTGTATCTAAGGAAAACTAGCTGATTGCTTCAGCTCATTGACTAAACAGCAATCCCTCACACTAACCATGCTTGTAGCGACAGTGGAGTGGAAAAACTCCCTTTTAACAGGAAGAAACCTCCAGCAGAACCAGGCTCAGTGTGAGCGGCCATCTGCTGAGGCTGACCGGGGTTCAAGGAGACAGAAGCAGACATACGGAAAGAAGCAGAGATACAAAAGGCAACTGTCAGCCAGCTCAACAGGTGGTCCAGGCTAGGAAAAACATAGCAAGGTAGACAGAGGATGTCAAAAGGTGAAAGAGAGCACATACAGTTAGTCACAGTCAAAGAAACATGAATACGTTAAAAAAACAAGCGAAGCTCCAACATCTATAAATAAAGTTGTTATTTGAACACAGCTGATATTTCTTTCGAGGATGGTATTACAGCCAAACAGGAACAGACCAGATGATAAAAGCAGATAGAGCATAAAGTTAGAGATTGAACTAACAAATACTGCAGAATGGGAGAATAGAGATAGAATGAAGCAGAATGATGAAAATGGGATACTATGTCCTCCAGCAGCCTAAGCCTATAGCAGCAGGATCTCAGGTTTATTTTTGTAAAAATCCTTTGGTGTTAATGAAAGGAACTGTTTCCTACATTAAACCAGAGTCTTCAATATTTAGGACCACTAGGTGGCAGTATATGGGCATTTCAAAATAGTTTTGAGATGAATTCTCTACTCTACGGATCTTGAAGTTAGAATCAACAAACCAAAGGCAACATATTTCTTAGCATTTTATGAATTTTGTGATCGCTTTTATTAGACAGTCAAAATAAGAATTAAAAACAAAAACAATTTGTTGATTTTATTTCAGCATAACTCACTAAATTTGGGGGTTGAAGAAACCTAGGTACAATTCAGACTTCAAGTCTTGCATCAAATTGCTGCCTTCTCATAATAAAGGTATCTTTATGTGCTGAACAGTCATTTAGTGTCGATATAAAGAACCAATTTTTCCAAATTCTTGCGGACAAAAAAATATTTCAACCTTATTTTCTTTTTTTTTTTATGTAAAGACAATTTTTCTATAAAAACATACATTAGGGAAATAAAAACTAGTTTCAAATAAATATGTATCTATCTTCAGTGTTATTACAAAAGAAGATAAACCTCCCAGACTGTGGGGGCGGCGATTAGGGGAACTTGCTATGGACCTAAATTATTATATTATACAAAATTAAGGGGATTTTGTTTTTCCATAATTTTTTTTAAATGTATCACTTTGTGTCTATTGTAGCTATAAAATACATTGCTTTCGCTTTATTAATTGAATTTAGGGAAAACATTTTTTGTGATATTTTAAATTACTATAATGCAATAGAAGAAAACAGATATAACATTTATGGAAAAAAATCTTCCAAATGTGGAAGTACAGCTGGTTTTTCAGAGAGTCACTTCTTTTGGATAAATTATTTTTTTCTATAGAGCAGTCAGTGGTTTCTTCAAGTAGTTTTTTGACTGAATGTCCTTAAAAAACACTTGTGGAGATAATCTGTGGACAATACATATGTTTGCTAATTGCTTAGTTTTGTAATAATTCAAATAGTGAATGTTGTTTTTTTAAACTCGCTGTCATTGGTTCTTTTTTACCCAGCTTAAGAAAAGGGACCTGGAAGATGTCCCAGTAATGTCTGTTATCTCTGTTAGAGCAAAAGGTTTCAATAGGAAAAAGGGAAATACGTTTCTATCATTAAATTTGTTTTATTGCTCTATTTCCTCAACTCTATTACAGAGATGAAAGGATATACTGTGACAATTACGGCTAAATGCTTTATGCTAGAAGTTATAGCCTGTGTGTGGTGCCGTTTCCATACTATTAGTCTTTTCTAGTGGGAGAATTATGGTTTAATTCTCACTGGTCTCTTTAAAGTGCAGCCTGGTTAATGAACAAATCACTCTTGAAACTAATTAGAACAAGAAGAACAAACAAACCGGAGTCGTGGAGCATATCAAAGCCAGACGCTCACTCAGGAAACAGTTTTCCACCCAGAATGTGGGACTTTATCAACATCTCCATGCATGGGAGACGTTGAGCAGCCATGGCGACCACAAGGAGAGAGCCGTCACACTCTGAATGAGTTTCCATCCAGCTGTGGTGGAGTTTGATAGAAAGTTCCAACATCTGGTCTCTACAAAACAGGAGCATGCTTGGGTTGTTCATGCAGATGTGGGATCATTAAGGTGTTTTGAAACACTGTGTATGTGGGATACATATATAGTGGATTAACCATGTATTGGTTATATATACAATTGCAATATAAAGATTTTGGACATATTTTTAAAAAGTCTGTAATAATATAATATATCACAGACATTTTGACAAGCCGTTTATGCGAGGTGGTTATCTTATTAGAGGTAGAAGTACCTCCTAACCTGGAAAAAAAAAAGTTTTTATTAAGCTTACACAAATTCTAATGTTAAACATCTGCTTTGAATCAAGCTTTTCATCTTTAGAGCTCAAAAGAGATCATCAGATAAATGTTTACAAAGCGTCATCCGCAGGATAACACTTCCCTGGCTATATGAATGATAATAATGATACGATTTAGAAGGGATGAAAATGAACAGAGCTTCACTGATTATATTCCCAGGAATAAGATGTTTACAAACTGACACCTTTGGAACAACCATGCTAACAATTATTTGTTTGTTTTTTCTTTAATTTCGCTTTCTTGTATGAAAGCTGCTATTTTTTTCTTTTTTTGAGCTCTTTTGTCATTGATCTTTGAAAAAAGTTTTTAACAAATCTACGGTAAGTCAAAATAGTGATTATGTAATTTATCTATCTATGTATCTATCTACATCTATCTATCTATCTATCTATCTATCTATCTATCTAT